AACCCAGGCATGTGCCCTGACTGGGAATCAAACCGCAAACCTCTGGTTTGCAGGCCCATACTCAATCCACTGAGCTATACCAGCCAGGGCTATTTAGCATTTTTGTGATTGTTTTCAGCTTTTTTAAAAAAGGACTTCATTTATGTACTTATTTTTAGAGACGGGAAGGGAGGGAGAAAGAGAGGGAGAGAAACATCAGTGTGTGGTTGCCTCTTGCACCCCTTACTGGGGACCTGGCCCACAACCAAAGGCATGTGCCCTGACTGGGAATCAAACCGGTGACTCTGGTTTGCAGGCCAGCACTCAATCCACTGATCCACACTAGTCAGGGCTGGTTTTCAGCCTTTAAGGGCTAAAGGCCATACTCTCCATAATGATAAGAAATTTTATTGAAATATTTGGTTTTAATTTAAGTGTTCATGCTTAAGATTTTTTTGAGAAATATATAATTTTACTCACATAACCATAATATGATTTTTAAAAATAATAAAAATGCTGCTGGTAAAAATTATAGGTTGTGGACTTCCGCCAAGATGGAGGCATAGGTGGATGTGCCGTGCCTTCTCACACAACCAAGTTTAGAGACAACTAAATATTAGCAACAGAAAACACAGCCAGAACACGGAAAACTGAACTTTTCGGAGGTCCGTTAACAACAAATTCTTCAGCCCTACCGGTAAGGGGCGAAACCAGCGGCTGGTGAAGCGGCACAGGAGGTCTCGGTCAGCCGGACTCAGGCGCGGAATCCAGACGCGGAATCCAGGCGCAGGGTTGGACCTAGTGAGCGACCCAGCGAGCAACCAGGCTAGCGACCGCGGGGGAGACAGCGGGGCAGCGGAGCTGCGTGTTGACTGAGGTCGCGCATTTGTGCGCGGGTGGACAGGTGAGGGAGTGGGCGGTTGGACCGGGCCGGCAGGTTCCCACGGCAAGCGGCAGTGGAGGGCGCCGCCATTTCCCTGCTCTGACCCCACCTCCACATACAGCGTCATAACCCAGCGACTCTGAGTGGCCCGGCCCAGGTGAACCACCTAAGGCGCTGCTCCTCCGCACCCAGCTGTGAGAAACAGCAGAGGGGGCCGCCATTTCCCCGCTCTGACCACGCCCCCACATACAGCGTCACAACCCAGCGACCTGGGAGTCCAAGGCACCGCTTCTCACACTTAAAGGGCCAGAACAGACCAAAAATGTCGCAGGAAGACCTCAAAGCCCCAGAGATAAATCTAAGTGACGAAGAAATAGCAAAACTCACAGACACACAGTTTAAAACACTGGTCATCAGCATCCTCACAGAACTGGTTGATTATACCGACAAATTAGACAAATATATGAAGGCGAAACTAATTGAAATGAATGGAATTGCACAGGACACCAATAGCAATGAAAAGGAAACTGGGACTCAGATCAATGGAGTGGACCAGAAGAAAGCAAATAATGGCCAAACAGAAAAGAGTCAAGAAGCAAGAATTCAAAGAAATGAGGAGAGTCTTAGGAACCTCCAGGACATCTTTAAACGCTCCAACATCCGAATTATAGGGGTACCAGAAGGGGGAAAGGAACAGCCACCAGTGGAAAAATTATTTGAACAAATAATAAAGGAGAATTTCCCCAATCTGGCAAAGGAAATAGACTTCCAGGAAATCCAGGAAGCTCAGAGAGTCCCAAAGAAGTTGGACCCAAGAAGGAACACACCAAGGCACATCATAATTACATTAGCCAAAATTAAAATGAAGGAGAGAATCCTAGAAGCAGCAAGAGCTAAGGGGACAATCACCTATAAAGGAGTCCCCATCAGACTGTCAGCAGATTTCTCAAAAGAGACCTTACAGGCAAGAAGGGGCTGGAAAGAGGTATTCCAAGTCATGAAATCTAAAGACCTACATCCAAGATTGCTCTATCCAGCAAAACTTTCATTTAAAATGGAAGGACAGATAAAGTGCTTCCCAGATAAGATCAAATTCAAGGAGTTCATCATCACCAAGCCCTTATTATATGAAATGTTAAAGGGACTTATCTAAGAAAAAGAAGTTAAAGAAACATGAACAGTGAAAGGACAACAAACTCACAGTTATTAACAACCACACCTAAAACGAAAGCAAACTAAAAGGACAGCTAGATCAGGAGTGGAAACATAGAAATGAAGATCTCAAGGAGGGTTAGCAACAGGGGAGTGGGAGGAAGAGAAGGGGGGAGAAGGTACAGAAAATAAGTAGCATAGAAAATAGAAGTAGATAGAAGATAGATGGGGGGGCAAGAATAGCATGGGAAATATAGAATCTAAAGGACTTGAGACACATGGTCATAAACTAAAGGGGGGGTAATGGTGGGGATGGGGGGTAGGGTGGAGGGGAATGAAGGGGGGAATAGAACAACTGTAACAGCATAATCAATAAAAAATTAAAAAAAAACAAGCCCTGGCTGATGTAGCTCAGTGGGTTGAGCGCGGGCCTGCGAACCACACGATCGCGGTTCGATTCCCAGTCAGGGCACATGCCTGGGTTGCAGGCCAGTTCCCTGCAGGCCAGTTCCCAGCAGAGGACGCGCAAAAGGCAACCATACATTGATGTTTCTCTTCCTCTCTCCTTCCCCCCTTCCCCTCTAAAGATAAATAAATAATAAAATATTTTATAAAAAAATAAAAATTAAAATTAAAAAAAAATTATAGGTTGTGAGTAGCCTCTAAATGTACTTTCCATTTCCTGGATGAAAAATTTTTTTTAAAGATTTTATTTAAAGCCCCGGCTGGTGTAGCTCAGTGGATTGAGCACGGGCCTGTGAACCAAAAGATCACGGTTTGATTCCCCATCAGGGCACATGCCTGGGTTGCAGGCCAGTTCCCAGCAGGGGCCAGTTCCCAGCAGGGAATGCACCAGAAGCAACCATACATTGATATTCCTCTCCTTCTCTCCTTCCCTTCCCTTCTAAAGATGAATAAATAAATAAATAAATAAATAAATAAATAAATAAATAAGATTTTATTTATTTTTAGACACGGAAAGGGAGGGAGAGAGTTAGAGAAACATCATTGTGTGGTTACCTCCTACATGGCCCCCACTGGGGACCTGGCCTGCAACCCAGGCATGTGCCCTGACTAGGAATCCAACTGGTGACTCTTTGGTTTGCAGCCCTCACTCAATCCACTGAGCTACACCAGCCAGGGCCCTGCATGAAAATTTTTGTTCCTGAGTTAATACTTATTTGATTTCTTTCTCATCCAGAGACATTTTTTAAAATGTCAAGATATAGTGCACATGAAATTTCATGGACTTCTTTCTTTTTAACTGTCAAAAGCAAATTTTCTGTTTTTGATCATACATGTGCTTAAGCATCTTTTTAATGGCTACACTGAGTGGGTGAGCTGAGGCTTGTTAATCATTTTCCAAGTACTGAACATTTAAAATGTTCCCACAATTTTTCAAGAGGGTGAACATGTGGGTGATTATGATCAAATCATTCTCCAAATGAAATTTTTCTGTTAATTGACACTATCACCCAAATTGAATGTTCGTTTCAATTCTTCTCTACACGAAGATGATATTCTTTGACATTTCATTAGGTATAAAATTATATCTAATTGTTTTAATCTTCTTTAATTACTACCAAATGAACCAAATAATTAGTCCTTTATCTCTAAATTGTCCATGTCCTCTGGTCACTGAGATATATTGAAGCTGTCTTTTGTTTTCCTTGGTTAGACCCTGTGAATTTCAGGTAACCCAAATTTTGTACCATTGGGCCATGGTACAAAATATCACAGAATATAAATTAAAGTACAGTTTGACTTCACAGAAAGTAAGAATAAGTAATATTTTACAAATGCAGTGCTTATTGTTTGGAATTGGCTGCAAAGACTAAATTCTTCATTCCAAAATGTTTACAAAAATACGTTCAGCTTGAACTGCTATATGATCCAAGGCTTCCACTTCTGGATATTTACCCAAATAAAACAAAAACACTAACTCAAAAAGATATATGGATGCCTATGTTCATTGCAGCCCTATTTATAATATCCAAGATGTAGAAACAACCTACGTGCCCAATGTCAGATGATTGGATGAAGATGCGATATATGTACACAATGGAATACTACTCAGCCATCACAAAGAATGAAGTCTTGCTGTTTGGGACTACATGGATGGACCTTGAGGGCATTACCTTAAGTGAAATAAGAGAAAAATAACATGATATCATTCATGCAAAATATAAAAAAAGGACAAACAAAACAAAAACAACTTATAGATACAAAGAAGATATTGGTGGTTACCAGAGGAAAAGGGGGTTGGTAGAATGTGTAAAGGGCGTCAATTATATGGTGACGGATGGAAACTACACTTTTGGTGGCGATCACATTCTAGTATATATACATGTTGAACTATAAAGCTGCACATCTGAAACTTATATGACGTTAAGATCGATGTTACCGCAGTCAAACGAAGAGAAAGAGAAGCAGGGGCGCGGGGAGGAGTGGGAGAAGCAGCAGCAGGGAGGCCTGTGAAAGAATGGAGTGGGACGTTCTTTTTAAATGCAAAACGCGAGGGGTGAGCAGTGGGGAGACGTTTGGCAGCTAGTGTGTGTGAATGGGGGAGGTGGGTTTGAAACCTAGTCTTTGAGTCGACCTTTGACTTAAGATAAACTTGCGGTGGGGCTTCCAGGACGCTCCCGGGTGGCAACCCGTGTAGCCCGTGGGAACTGCCCTCAGTCTCCATGTAAGTACCGGGACTTTGGAACGTGTGGGTCTCCGGAGACGAGTAGACAGGCTAAGAGCACTATTTGCGGACTAAAAGAACAACAGGAAGTATCGCGACCAGCAGCCGCTTCGTATCACGACAGAATTTTAACTAGTGCATCGTCTCGTAACTTCCCCAATCCAGACGGCCCCGGAACCTTTGTTGTGCTACCAACGTTGCAACTCGGGCGGAAAGACAGACGGATTCGAATCCAGCGCGGCGGAGACGGAGCTAATAAAAAGGGAAACTTGGATCCTGTGGCCAATAACAGAGGCAGAAAAAGTGACGTAAACGGAAGTGTGCGGGAGGGTCGCGGCAGTTCGGTAAATAGGGATTCTAAGCGGTTCTGTGCTAGAGAAAACAGAAGGCGAAGATGTCGGAGCGAAAAGTTTTGAACAAATACTATCCCCCCGACTTTGACCCGTCAAAGATCCCCAAGCTCAAGCTCCCCAAAGACCGGCAGTACGTGGTGCGGTTGATGGCCCCCTTCAATATGAGGTGTAAGACGTGCGGAGAATACATCTATAAGGGTAAGAAGTTCAACGCGCGCAAAGAGACAGTACAGAACGAGGTCTACCTGGGCCTGCCCATCTTCCGTTTCTATATCAAGTGCACGCGCTGCCTAGCAGAGATAACCTTCAAGACAGACCCGGAAAATACAGACTACACCATGGAGCACGGAGCCACGCGGAACTTCCAGGCTGAGAAGCTCCTGGAGGAGGAGGAGAAGAGAGTGCAGAAGGAACGGGAGGATGAGGAGCTGAACAACCCCATGAAGGTGCTGGAGAACCGAACCAAGGACTCCAAGCTGGAGATGGAGGTACTGGAGAACCTACAGGAGCTCAAGGACCTGAACCAGCGGCAGGCCCACGTGGACTTTGAGGCCATGCTGCGACAGCATCGCCTGTCTGAGGAGGAGCGCCAGAAGCAGGAGCAGGAGGAGGATGAGAGGGAGACGGCGGCCTTGGTGGAAGAAGCTAGGAAACGAAGACTGCTGGAGGACTCCGATTCCGAGGAGGATGCTGCTGCACCTGCCCCACCCCCACCGACCCTCCGGCCCAAACCCACCGCTATCCTGGATGAGGCCCCAAAGGCAAAGAGGAAGGTGGAGAGCTGGGAGCGGAGTGTGGGCACCCTTGGTAGCAGACCCCAGCTCTCAGGCCTTGTCATGGTGAAGAAAACAGATCTGAATTGCAGCACGCCACGGGACCAGCCGGCATCCACCCTGGGCACTGTGAAGAACGGGAAGGCGGCAGTCCCTGCACTCAGGACACCCGGCACCTCCTCCCTGAGCCAGCTAGGTGCGTATTCGGATAGTGAGGACAGCAGCAGCAGCAACTGAGGCCTTTACCAGGCCAAGGATCATATGTCCAACTCCAACTGGTGGTTGGGGCAGGAGGCACCAATCAGAGCACAACCAGACAAAATGAATGTCTTCTGAGGTTGGCAGGACCAGCCAGGGCTTCAGCTGAGGGACTGGGTTTCACTCCTGTCCCCTCAACCACCAGTAGAAAGCAGCTCATGCTTCCCATCCACCTGGCACTAAGTCAAGAATTGCGACATCCCTGGAGGGATGCATCCTTTCTTGGACAGTCCTTGAGATGTCAGCCATGGTTTTGGGCATGTCGGTGAGCCCACCCCACTGTTGGCTCCATCCCTTCTACCACAAAATCGTCTGGAACCAATAAAAGGGACCCCCACCCCCCAACACACAAAACCACTTTAGCTTGGGAATATTGTTGCCACTGGACGTAATTCAAGTCAATTCCTACATGAGGACACATTAAAATCCTAGAACTGTGAAATATACATAGTAACTACAAATGGAAGACATCCTGGCTGTTTTCAATTTACAACAGGTAGAAATTTATTTTTCAAATGATGGATTTTGAACTCTAGTCCAAGCTACTGGAAAGAAGTATTTTCTGCTGACTGCCTTCCCAACTTGAACGTTGGGATGCTGTGGGAAGGGTGGGAAGCCATCACTCCCATAGACTCTGCTAGCAGATTTATTATGATGGATCCTTTTTTGGACTGTTTAATATACCAAATAAGACTCGGTTTGTTTAATAAAGTTTCGTTAAGTGACTGTAAAATTGGTCCCTGTATCTTTGGGTTGTGACACTAATTAATAGTGTCTACATTTCTATCAGCTGTGTGCATCTATGAGAATTCCACCAATATATATGAGAGGACTTCTTTTTGACCTTTCCACGCTTCGTTAAAAGCAGTTTTAAGGTGTGCTAACCTCCAGTAATATCTTTTTGGTATATGCCAACCTGCTCTCTGAGCTATTTTTCCACATAAAAGTGACCCACTTCTTAACCCCTGGTAACAGGCTAAACATTGCTTATGAAACGGGTGACTTACTACATGCCATCATGTAGAGCTGACTCGGAGAGTAAAATACCAAGATCACTTTGGTAAGTAATTCCTAACAAAATAATATTTTTGGAATGTTTTGTTATGTTTTTTGTACAGAGCACCTTTTGTACTCAAGGGGTGGTGGTGGTTAGTGGTAAGTGTTACCCCTGAAACTGGTGACAGGGTCAGCCTGCTTCTCTCCCCTCCCACTGTGCAGCGACAGCCCCTATACACCATCAAAATCATTTTGTGGAATTTTAAGTTCTGTTGGTCTACACAATTTTAGTTGATGGAGGGTGCAATTTTACAGAAAGAGTGAAGAAAATTGGATCCCTCTTAAATTGTGAAGAGAGGAAAGCCAGCCTTTGAGGGCAGCTTAAGGATCAAGCTGGCTGTAAGTTATATGCAGATATAAAATTCGAGAAGAAAGAGACTTGAAGGTTAACTCACTGAATTCCCAATATTAAATTCTGAAGACATAGACTAGCAGACAGCAACTGGTCTGCTTTCTAGAAGAGAGCTGTGTAAGAAGGGGGCAGTGTTCAAACCAGCTGTAGCTGCAGGGTACTATGGCATGTGGCTGTGTCCCAGGTCACAAGCCATTCCACCTAGGCTCAACCTGATTGGGCCACTTACTAAATGTGTGACCTTGGGCAAGTTGTTTAACCTTTCTATGCTTCATTCATTCATTCAAAAGATATTAATTAAGCAGTTACTCTGTGCTTGGCACTATATTAGGTGTTGGGGATACAACAGGGAACAAAATAGACAAAACGCTTGTTCTTTTTGTGGGGTGTGATGTTCCTGGGGTGATGGCAATGTTTCATGGCCTGGATGCCGGTGACCTGGGTGGTGTCTGTAAAAATTCATTGAGCTGTATATACTTATGCGCACTTTTCTGTAAATGTACTTCAGTATTTTTAAAAAGTCTATGGCCATATAGCAATCATAGCTATATTAAATGAGTAAAGCATGTAGAGCTGTGTGCTTGCCACATAACACTCAAAGAAAATGGCTTCTATTATTAATTCAGTGTAACTCCTTAATGAAACAAACTAGGCCATTGGGGGATGTTCTAGAGATCCAGCTAGCTCTGCCGCTAGGATTAGTTCACAGAGCCCTTCCGTAAACCAGTTAGGCATGGATCATGCCTCCATCATGAAAAATGTGCTTTCTTCTTTCAAGATCAAAATATAAGAGGAGTTTTGTTAGCACTTTAAGCTAAGTGTTGCAGAGCCGCTGTGAACATTTGGGTAGGCTGTGCGCTGCACAAGGGCTCCATCTTTAAGGGGCTGCCATTCATATCCCAGGCCTCATGGGTTTGTATGTTACATTTTTCTGGCAGAAATTCTGGCGATCAAGTGTCTAATTTTAACAAAATTTGTATGAAAACATCTTTCTGACAGAAGTCAAAGGTGTGAAGAGCTCCGCTTTCTAACTTGCAAAAAGATGCTGAATATAAATACCACCCAGGACTTGAAAGCAGAGGGGAGTCTGCCTTCTAGGAGCTGCCCTTTCAAATGGATGCAGAGGCCCAGCCCCTGAAACTCGCCTATTTGGGCCTATGGTTCTTTTAATCACTGAGTTGGAACAAACTGGCCTTGTGCTTTGTCTGTCAGCCTCCGTGACTGTGGATGGTGGGAGTCTTCCACAGAGACAGGTCCTCTCTGGGGTTCCGACAAGTCGTGTTTATGAGGATGAGACCCTGACACTGTGACTTTGGTGAAGCCTGCTCCTTCCGAGCACAATACCTCAAGTTCCTGCTAGTGAAGTGGGTTGTAGCTGGCCTCATCTCAGTAACCATGAGAGATCTTTGCGAAGTGTGCCAGCTCCTAAGTCTCCAACCCAGCAAATCTGAGGTGGGCCCAGACATCCGTATGTTAACAAGCTTCCCAGGGGACTCTCTCGTCCTGTTCTAATAGGGTTTCTAAGAAGGGGGCTGAAATCAGGCTAACTTGAGCTCAGGCAGTCCCTTTACCTTATGGAGGGAAGGGGTGTGGGAAAGTGGGAGGCAATATTCCAATTCAAAATGGCTTGCATGTGTCAGGGGGAAGAGAAAAAGAAAAACCTGGCAAGCTGGAGCCTGCCTCCTGCCTTTTAGTCTGGGCTGGGGAATAAGCAGCCTGCTGGAGTGCTGGTGAGTGTGCAACATGCCCGCCCTTGAGAGGGCTGGGAGGAGGGAGAGGGTGCTTGTCACGGGGCAGCCGCAGGTCAAAGAGCGAAGCAGTCACATCGCTGTCTGCCCTCTGGTCTGGGCCGGGCCTGGGACTGGCCCACTGGGCCAACACCCCAGTAGGGGGATAGGTCTTTGTCTCATCCTATTCTAAGGATCAATAAAACTTTGGGAACAGACATAAGCCAGGCACTGAAGTGTTGTGGGCTCGGGTTAGTGACAGAACGGGAGGAACCAGAGACTGGTCATCAAAGCCTAGACAGCTCAGGGGTTTGCAAATGGTTCTCCAGCCTTGAGGTCCGGATCCCCCAGCCCTTTTATCAGGGCCATGAGTCCTGCAGATGGAGCAGTGAGGGGCTAGACCAAAACAGTATCGTCCTTCAAGGACCTGTTCTAATCAGGTGGGCGAGGCAGGAACGCTTGGATCTCCACAACCTACTGATCAGAGTGTACTTAATTTGTCACGCTGTTTGTGTCTGACCCCCCGGCACTTATGTACGATCCCTGCAGAGTGAGAAAGCTCGAAAATGACACCCACCCGGTGCTCACCATCCAGTCTGTTAGCGTGTATGACAGTTAACATGGAGGCCTGCCTGGCTACTTTTTAAACATATTGTTAAGTAATGTCGAAACCAATGTCTTCTTTTTGAAAGTTGGAGAAAAATAAAGCACCTGCTCTCAGCCTCACTGGTCAGTATGTTCCAGTCTCCGGTCTTGGCTACCCCAAGACCCCACTGTCTACCCCACTTGGGAAAGGGGACGGACTGAGCCCAGGTTACGAGGGGACTCCTTACCCCAGAGCTGAAGAATCGGGGCACTTCAGCAGTGCATCCGCTCCTGCCCACTGGGCCCAGCCAGTTAGTGTGAGGAAGCCTCAGTGTGGGTGCTGGCGGGAGACCCCGTGGGGGCGCTGCGCTGGTGGGACCTTCCACTGTGCCCTCTCTCTAAGAAGCAAGGGCTGCTTCCCATTTTCCTTTTAAAAGAGGCTTGTCGGTGGAGGTGGGTTGTGGCCAAGAAACCAAACCAAACCAGTTCCATGTGAATCACGCCTCCCATGCCAGACGCCGGAGGACAGTGCCCTGGCAGCTGTGGGGTAATGGAAGTGCGATGGCTGGACTTGCAGCCTGAACACCAGAGCCTGTGCACTTAGCAACAGCAGGACTATGGGCAGGTCACTTGACTTGAACCTCAGTTTTTTTTTCTAGAATACAAGGTTAACAGCACCCAGTCCACAAGCACACTGTAGGGGGAACGCACAGCACTTTGAATATGCAGTTGTCCTCACCACTGCTACTGCCCGCCCTGACCCCTACCCTCAGGGCAGGTGCCTGAGTCCCCCCACCTCCCCAGAGGCCAGCCTTCCTGTCCCCTGCGGCTCCCAGGAACATGACGCAACCAGCTGCTGTTAGAGGACTGGGGTGTTCTCCCCTTCGGGCTCCAGGAACAGCCAGGGCAGAGTAATCAATTAGGAAACAAGGTTCAAGACCAACAGGCAGGGCCAAATGGAGGTGGGACTGAGGGGCAGGAGCTGGTGGAGTCACCAGTAAACTACACAACGAATGAAAAGGCCTTGGGAAGAGGGGAGAGGCAGGAGGAGGGAAGTGAGGGCAGCCAGGCGCCCAGGGCACCAGTGAGGCCCATCCTGGTCTGGAGAGCTCAGGGAGACCAAGGGCAGCCAAGGGGAGGGGCTGGAGCACTGTGCTGGGCCTCACCCCATGCCCATCCTTCACCCCTCAAGGGCCTGGGCCCTCCTCATCCTCAGCCCTCAAGCTGGAAGGTGAGGGGCGGGGAAGAGCAACAAGGGGCTGAAGGTGACTCAGAAATCAGAACCAAAAAGGCCAAAAGGTTTTTACTCTGTGAGCCCTGGGGAGGACCGGGCAGAGCACAGGTGTCCACAGGAGGGTGAGCAGAGAGGAGGAGCTGGGGCCTGTAGTCTTGCTTTCCTGCGCAGGTAGGAGCGAGGGGAAATGAGGCCAGGTGTGTCCTCCTCCCACTTGCCAGAGGGCTCCAGTCCCGGGGCCCAGCGACACCTGGCCCTCCTGAGTTCACACTGGAGTCCCTGGCAGTCCTGAAATCGCATGGTCTGCCCGAAGCCTTGACGAGACAGAAATGCTTGCTGGAGGGAAAAGGCTGGTGCAGACTGACCGCAGCCGATCCGAGGTGCTCCCAGGATAGTGTCTTTCTCCGACAGGAAGAGGACGCATGAGGCGGGGAGGACCCAAGGCCAGGAGGTCTGTCTTTGCCTGCCGGAGCCATGCCCCAGATTCTTCAACTTCCGTGCCGGGGGTCTGGGTTCAGGGGGTGCTGGGTGAGGCTCAAAGCTCATCAGGGGGACTGTGTGTGAGGGGAGATGCCTTCTGGACGCCCTCATCCTCCTCGGGGCTGGGGTCTCCCTCGAGGCCACCCAGCTCCTTCCTCTGTTTGCTGCTGCTGCTGCTGCCACTGGATGCTTTGGCCCTGTTGCTCTTCTTCTTGGGCTTCTTCCCTCCTAGAGTGGCTGTGTCCCCCTTCTTGCCAGACCACTTCTCTGCTAGGCAGCCTGGGTGAGGAGAGACGGCCTCAACAGACTGGTTCCCTGGGCGAGGAGCACTGCCTGCGGAGTCGTGACTGGAACTGGTGCCTGGCATCACTACCTCCACCTCGCTGTGGCCCCCGGGCCCCCTGAGGGCACCTGAGTTCTCTGTGTGTTATTCTGCACCTGGTGTTGGCGCCTCTGACCCTGCCCTGTCACATCAAGCTCCCTGAGAGCAGAGATCCTACAACAAACTCTATTTCTTATTTCTTTCCCATCCTCTGCCTACCCGCCCCACCCGAGGGAAAGCAAACCATGAAATGGAGGCCAACCCGCCCTGCCTCCCCCCTCCCTCAGACTCACTGGTGTCCTTGCCCTTCAACACGTGGTTGGCACAGAGGAACTGAGTCAGGTCCTCCTCCTGGTGGTTTCGGTACCAGTCCTCGATCACCTCCTCAAACTCTTCCACCAGCACGTCGCACTGTCAATCACAATACCGCAAATTGGCAAAGCCCCAGCACCGACTCTCGTCCAGAGGAGCTCGGCTGAGCCACACGACCCACCACAAGGCAGGCCGATGGCTGTGACTCTCCCGAGGAAACTGCAGCCAGACAGGTGAAAGGACCGAAGTCCCCCAACTCTTGGTGGCCTTCCTCAGCAGTGGAACCATCACCCACCCCTGAGGACCCCCCACCGAGGGCCGAGGGCCTATACCTGCTTCTTGAGGTCAGCCACTTCTGCAGAGGTCTCGTTCCACAGCTCGTAGGGGATGTCCATCACCACCTTGACCCCTTTGTGTACCAGGTTGTGCAGTGTCTCAAAAGTCTCTGACATGCCCTGGAGGAGGCGACCACACATGAGAGGCAGAGTCGCTCCTCCACCCCCTGCCCGCCTCTCCAGGTGGCAGCAGAAGCCCAAGGACCTGGCTCTGAGGAGGCGAGACCTCCCAGGCTTCTCACATCTGACCTCTCCTTCCTCCCCTGTCTTTTAGGCCTACCTCCCCTAACCCTACACACACACCCTGTCCTGCCTCCCTGCCCCTCATTCTTTCTGAAAGACCTGCTGTGGCCCTCGGGCCCTTTGAACATGTACTCCTTTTCCAGGAAATGAGTTTGTCTCGGCTCTTCTTCACTGCGGCTGGGCACGCTCCCCGCCCGGGTTCTCCGGGGGGCTTGTGTCTTCCCTTGGTGGGAAGAGGGCACAGGCAAGGCAGGAAAGGCTCTGTTCTATAAAACACGTTTCTGCCAGCTACCCAGGTTGCTCCCAGGACACAACACACTGTCTATCTTTCCAGAGATGATGTGTGCAAATACACCCTCCTCTCCTCTACCCCCACATTTACACAAGCAGGAATAGATCATTATTATGCACCTTGCCTTTTTAAAGTTTAATAATACACCTTGGAGCTCATTTTAGTTCAGTTTGTGAAGAGCTACCCCATTCCCAGTTTTTCAGGTGTGGAACAGTCCCTCAAACGGCCACACCAATTTATTTACCACTCTCCCTACAGGTGGATGGTCAGGTTGCTCCTCATTTTTTTGTTATGGAAAATAATTTTTAAGTTTTTTCCATTAAAGCAAACATTATTACCAACTAGGGTACAAAATGCGTACAAATTTTAAAGATAACACCTAAGACTTCTCTCGCTTGACCCTATCCCTCTGGGGTCCCCAGCGGTTTCTGACTCATCCCCTTTGCAAGGAGGGGACCTCGGCGGAGAAATGTGCCAGGCACGGAAGATGTCAAGATGAAGAAATGTGCGCTGCCTCTGCAAAGCTCCTTGTCCAGGGAGAGGAGCATTTATCCACACGTTAAACACCTTAAATGGCCCAGAGGCACCCTGATGGATGGTGAGGCAGGTGCCCTGCAGGCCAGAGGAGGGACAGTGGTCACCGCCCCGCTAGGAGTCTTCTGAGTCTCTAACCCCTGCATCCCGACGTCTCCTGCGCACGTGCTTTTGGTCCTCCTGGGGGCTGCGCCTGGGAGCATTTCTGCCTGTTTGAGACCGAAGCAGGACCCTGATGGGGTCCAGGCCATCACGAATGTGCCTATTGCCATGGAAAAGTCAGGCCACCCAGCAGAGGAGGGGTGCAAACAGCAATCCTCGAAGAATGGGAAGAAGCCAAGGAGGGAAGCTCCTTTGGCAGGATCTTCAAATCACACCCACGCCAACAGCCACGCTCAGCCACATGCAGGCTGAGCCCAGCAGGAGGAAGGACAAGCCAGTCCCACCTTGGCAAACCGGTTGCTGCCAGTCCGCTCCTTGTGTAGGCTGTAGTCCAGGAGCCGTTTGCAAATGGTCTCAGTGACTTCGATTAACCGCAAGTCCCTGCCGAGACAGCAGCGCAAGGGCCTGAGTCCCCTCCCAGCCCCGTGGGTCAGTGTCCGTCCCTCCAGCCCTGCTACCCCAACACCTGCGAATCTCACCAATGGGAAGTCAGAGCTGGAAGGAAGATAGGTCATCTGGTCTGGGTGCTCTGAAATGCTGGAACACAGACCAGAGAGACAAAATTTTAACAGCTCTACTGGAAGGAATTTTTTTTTAAAGCTCAATGAGTCAGTAGATTTTTTAATAAAGTAAAATGTATAAAAGTTTGATGTTAAAATATTGCATTTGAAAGGATGATCATAGCTGATGGAAGTTTTTTGTCTTTAATATACTTAGCAAAAGTAAAATTTGGTAATCATATGTTACCAATATTTTAAAGATTGCACTGGTCTATGAAATCTAAGAGTTTGGGAATCACTGACATGGTCCAATAGTCCTTCTTTTACTGACGGGGAATCTGAAGCCCCGAGAGGTTAAGGGATTTAGGAAGGCCACCCAGGTAGCTCGGTGAGAGCTGCCTCCCTTTGGTGGGTTTGCCTGGCTAGAAGGGAGAAAGGAACTCCAAGCTGCTGAACCCTCGAGGAACAAAGCAGGCCAGGCCAGTGGGTCCCCGTTCACTTACGACTTGGTGTATTTGACGCCAGAGGCCTTTCGGTCCAGGATGCCATAGCCTGTGTCAATGACCTCCTTGGTCTTGCCAGTTTCCTCAAAGGCGGACTTCAGCTCCACAGCGACATACTTACACACTGGGGGAGGGAGACACAGCACAGCCTACTGAGTACACGTGTCTGTTGGCAGCCAGCTCCCAGCAAAACAGACTCAAGCGCGTGCCTCTTCCAGAATGGGCTGAGTCAGTGCTCCAGGCAGAGAAGAGGTTAGCACCAGACCACCAGTTCACTGGGTGAAACCTGGCCTCAAGATCCATGGCCCCATGTCCACTCTCGGCCCATATCCCGCACCAACTTCAATTCTGCCAGCTCCATTCCGCTCCTCTGCTCCCTGCAATCATTTTCCCCTTACAGTTTTCAAACATACAGAAAAGCTGAAAGAGTACAACAAATATATACCTTCCATTCATATTCAACAATGGTTAATGATGCACCAAGGGCTCGCTCCAATATGTAACATAAAACAATGTAACAATGTAGCAACAGTGTACAGGGTGGGCCAAGTAGATTTACAGTCATTACAACCAATAACAGGAGTAGCTGTTTTGTGCACTCACGACTGTAAACCTACTTTTGTCCACACCTGGATACATTGCTTCTGCTAAACCATTTGGAACGTTGCAGACATCACCATCTTTCACCCCTAAATATGTCATGTGCACCTTCTGAGAATAAGACCTTCCACCTACCCATGAAACAATTTTGATACTTGGAAATTAACTAATTCCAAGATCATCTAGTACTTAGCCCATATTCAAATTGCCCCAGTTGTCCCCCAAATGTCTTTTACGACTGTTTCATCACTGGGTTTCATATGCTGTGACAACCCCAGCTCACTATTCCTGCGAAGTTAATTTGTTCAATCCCCTCCACAGGCCTTGTTTCTACTATTTCTGTACATTTATTTCCTCATTTCCTCTTACTCTTCCACAAATAATTATTACGCAACTCCCATGTGTCAGGTACTGCCTGGGAACACAGAAATAAAAACGGGTTCCTCCTTTTCAGATGCTCAGTCTAATGGAGCAGAAAGAAGCATACACAAATAATTTTCATACCACGGAGGTGTGAGGTGCCTCGGGCCCTAGGAAAGGGCTTATTGCTCTCTGGGGCCTCCGGGGCTTTTCCGCCAGCCCTCCCAACCTCACCATGAAAGCCTCTCCACCCAGGAAGCCTTTCTGAATTAATCCCGCTTGCTCTTAATTTCATTCTGGGAGTGTGCAAAACCCATGTTCTCACTGAGGGCCTCTGGTCATTTCACACGCCTCTCCAATTAGACTACAAGAGTGCCCCAAGTGAGCGTCTCGGCCTGGACTTTCTCTGTATTCCTCCAGTCCAGGACTCTGTATGTGTTAGACACATGGTGAATGTTGCCGAGAGAGACTGTGTTTGTGGCTGAGCAGCTTCTGATGCATCTGAATAGAATATGGTCTGCAGACTAAATGCCATCGGCGTTGTTATAACACTAATGGCAGAGTTACGTAGAAAACCAATTTACCACCAAAATGAATACACCCCCTGGAGGCTTGCTTGATGAAATTTTGTAACACATACATTACCACAGGGCTTGGAGAACTTGGGACACACAAACATTCCAAAATATAAGCTGGTGATCTCAGAGTCTGCAATGAATTGAGGGCGTCTCAGCTCCCTGGCTCTCCATCCAGAACCATCTGGGCTCCCTCCCCTCTTCTGTCCTGTCTGTACCAGGCCATCATTTTCCTGGCTCCTCTGCCCCTTTCTCCCACACCTCAACATGCAGTGTTCTAGGCTCAGGAGGTTGGAACCCATCAACTCATCTCTCTCATACTCTAGCCACGATCTTGCTCCTCAATTCTTCCAAACCTTAACTCTTCAAGACCCCCTCTGGGAATCCCACCCAGAATCACTTAAAGGAGACTCATGACACAGACCCCAGACCCCCATGGACATCTACCTACTCGTTTTCTGGGCAGGTTCTCCTTCCTGTGTGCCAGGGCCTGTTCCAGTCAGGCAACTGAGCCAGAGGCAGGCTTTGTGGGCCAGATACAGTCGGCATTTCATAACAAAGGTGGAACGATGATCAAGAAAAGTAAACACACTATTAAGAGAAGCCTAAGGGTTGGAATATGCCAAGCCTTCCTGTGACTACAAATCCCTTTTAAAGTAACCTTTATCAGTTACCTCCAAAATAAGACTGGACAAGAATAATCTCAAAGATTCTTGCCAGTTCTATCCTCTATGAGTCTGCGAATACCTCTAAGAAAAAGAAATGTGAGCTTCTTAGGCTATGAGAATAATAAGAGAAACAGCAGGGGCTCTTTGGTATCAGAATAAAACAGAAAACAGAGAAGAGGAAGCGAAAGCTCCGAAGGATGTCAGTGAGGACTAGAGGAAGAGTGAAAAAATAAGCACAACCCTCTGCCTGCCTGTTCAAGGGGCAGAGGGAGAAGGTGCGGCTGGACTGTGCACTGGGGGCCCGCCAGTGAAGCCAGCCCAGCCCTGAGGCATCTCCTCTTTAATCTCATCAACGGGAGGACTGTGTGTCCCAAACCAATCCACCCCCACTTCCCAGTGCTCAGGGAACATCTGTTCTGCTGTTGGCTTTGAACTTGGATGGAACAATTTTATAGCTAACTTTCTGGATGGCCTGGGCTCAGGGGGGGTGAGAAGGAAGGAGTGACTATAAAGGCCTGAGGAGGGATGGAGGGGAGGGATGGAGGAGGGGTGGAGGGGAGGGCTACCTGCAAAAGGCAGCCGACTTGGCCAGACAGCTCAGTTGCTTAGGGCAGCATCCTGATATGCCATGGTTGCAGGTTTGACCCCCAGTCAGGGCACATGCAAGAAGCCACCAGTGAATGTATAAATAAGCGAAACAACAAATTGATGTTTCTGTCTCCCTTCCCCCTCTCTCTCTAAAAAAAAAAAAAAGAAAAAAAAGAATAAACAAGAAAGGGTGGGCCCTTTATAGTCCTGGGTCACTGCTTTGTGTGCTAGCACCTCTCTCGCTCAGTCCTACCCTCTGACATCGGGATGCTCTTTTTCCATATCCCTAAAATCTCCCTCCCTCATCACGCTCTCTCAGGCTCTACTTTTCTCCTAAAGTTACTCCTTAGGCTTCAGACCCTCCTCCTTTCTTCACACACATCCGCAGTCCCCCGTTTATTTACATGTATTTAAAAAAAATACCCGAGAGAAGGTTCCTGTTTTCAAGGAGCTCAAAGCTAGTGAGGGAGACGGACACCTACACAAATTAGGTTCCAGTGAGCGCACAAAGAGGAGAGTCTCAGGTTCTCCTTCCCCTCAGACTAGTCATATGAATCTTTTCAGTTCCTCAAACTTGGTCTACTTGTCGTTTCCTGAGTGGGACCCTCCCTTTTTACTTTTCACCCGGCTAACTCCTAATTACTCTTGTGCTTCCTGTACGAAGCTTTTCCTGACTTCTCTCTACACCCAGGCTTTCTCATCTCTGGGAGCGCATGGACATTTGCTCCTCACTCGGCCCCCAAAGCCCTGTACACCTCCATCTATCACGGCACCCTGGATGATAACTGGGTTTTGTTTAGTTTTGCTTTGTTTTTTTAACCGATTTGTGAGCTCCAGGTGCACCGAGACCTGACCTCTCTCGCTCGGCCCTGTATTCCCAGCGTCCCGCACAGAGCCAGGCACACAGTAGGTTAAATGAATGGAGAGACCCGCTCGAGAGCCAGCGGCACCTTTCACCACCAAGGTGTTTTCCGTAAGCCCTGCCCCTCCAGCAAGACACTCCCGTGGGCCCCGCCCCTTCACCTTCGCATTTGCTGGGCAGCCGAACCCAGTCGGTCTCCTCGGCTTGGGCCTGGCTCGGGCCCAGCTCCGGGGTGGACAGTTGCAGCAGCAGCAGGAGAAGCAGAAGCAGAAGCCAGCGGGTCCCAGGCTGGGGCGCGGGCTCAGGCAATAGCTCCATGGCCCGGCCGAACCCGACCCGGAGGGCTGCGCTTCCCACGGCTGCGCGTGCTGCTTGGCTTCTGAGAGCCGCTTCCAGCACTGCACACGTGCCTCGGCTTAACCCGGGCACCGGGGAGCCCCCGACCCGCTCTCTCCTCCAGCCGCCGCGGCCCGCCTCCGGAGCCGAGAAGGCCGAGGGACTGCGCAGCCAATGGGCTTTCTGGGTTTCGTCCTCCAGCAAATGGAAGGATGATCTTTTTTCGGTTTGGACCAATAAAAGAGCCGATGGTGTCCTCAATGACCAATGGCAACATCTTTCCCCACACCCCGGACGGAGGCTCTGGGAGGAGCTAGGGGACTGACACTCGGAAAGGAAGCTGCCCGCTGGGCCTGAACCGACGCGGTGGGGCGTGCTGGTCCTAGAAGACTTGAGGAAAGTCCTCATCACTGCCTTCTCCGCCTGCTTTCACGTCACTTCCCTGCTGGGGCCATAATGCAACGAGAGCTCTTACTGAGCACCCGTTTTTAAATTTTACTATTTTTACTATTATTGTTTTTATTGCCAGCCAGTCAGGCAGGCTCTGTGAGTGAGACTAGGATGACTCAGTCTCCAGCCTTTAAATAGCGCCTTTAAAATATTTGTTTTCCTTTAGAGATTTTATTTATTTATCTTTAGAGGGGAAGGGAAGGAGAGAGGGCAAGAAATATCAATGTATGGTTGCCTTTCACGCATACCCTGCCGGGAACTGGCCTGCAACCCAGGCATGTACTCTGACTGAGAACCGAACCCTGAGCATTTGGTTCGCAGGCCCGCGCTCAATCCACTGAGCTACACCAGCCAGCAAATTTAAATAGCTTTCTTAGGGCCCAAGGACCCTAGGTTTGTCCCAGTGAGAACTCAGAACACATCCCTTCCTACCTGAGCCTCAGTTTCTAGCTATATGAAGACCAAGCGATCCTTCTAGAGGCTATTCAAGGCCTATTTGGAAGTTCAGATAGTTAATGGACTTAAAGCTTATCGAGGAGATTGTAAAAAGCTAATGCATTAACTTTCTTTGTAGTGTGTAACCTTAGTCCTTTAATGCCCTATTATTTATTTCTTTGGATTCTGAGTTCCCAGAAATCAAGGACTTCATGTATTAATACCTAGATCTAGGAGCACCCCTGGAAAACAACATTAAGCCAGTTTCAGTGGGGATTTACAGTCTGGAGCAGGGCAGGATTGGGGGCATTGGGACAAAACGGAGAGGAGTATTGAAGCTAAGGGAAACCCTGCTTCCAGAATGAGAAGACATTTACTGAGGCAAGAAGCTCAGCATCTGGCCCGAGAGCTGGGAAGGGGTGATGACCGGAAAAGTCTAGGCTGTGACTAGACTTGCCCCTCCCTGACTCAGCCTGTGCCCTTCGCAGTCCGAGTGTCGGAGAAGGAGCAGGCCCTGTGGGCATGATGGACTGACTCGTCCCTAGAGGTTGTGGGACACTCCCCGGCCCCCAAATAATCCAAAAAGAGGTGGGGAATCTTCCCACAGGCTGGTGAGAGGTGGGCAGTGGAGGAGACTGAGGGTTTTCATGCAGCAGCAGCTCAGAGGGCACAGAAGCTCAAGGAAGCTGCAGGTGTCACTGACACCATATGGGGGGGCAATGTTAGAGCATAGTTCTCCGCCTACACCTTGGGGGAAGACCAAGGTAGCACCATTTATCCAGTAGGTATCCTGTGCTGCCCAGGGAACCTTTAGATTCACACGAAAGCACCCAGAGACTCTCGGGCTGATTACTGAGAGGAGTCTCTGGGAGAGGCTGGATTTCCTGGCAGTGTTGGGGCACGCAGGTCCCACTCCGCCCTGGGAGCCTCACAGTCTATCAGTGCAAAGGCCCTCTGTAGGAAACAAAACAAAACAAAAACCTCCGTAGTGCCTGGCTCAGAGTTGGTGCTCAGTGAATGTTTGTGAAATGAATAATGACCCTTAATTGATTCATAATGTGTAAGTTTGAAATTACCATCGGAGCTCTTGGCACTGGACGGACTCCCGTTACTCTGGGATGCTGGCCCTGTTCATGGCTTCCTGGGCTCGTCACCCTGACCTCTCAAGGCCCTAGGCCAGGGTGAGGAGTCAGAGAAGGGGCCTTGTCCCATGCCTGGCTGTGGTGCAAGGAGACAGAGGAGGGACAGAGTCCTCCCCAACCTTTAGCCCCACTCTGCAATTCCTAGGGTCTTGCCCTCAGTAAACCCTCTTCCTCAGGGCAGCCTTCCCAGATTTCTGCCCCTTCTAGATCTACTAAATTCCCTCCTCCCAGAGGAGACATGAATTCAAATACACATTTTTTCATTAGCTTGTGCCACTTAAATTCTCCTTTAATAGTCCTCAGTTACCTGCACCTCACAGGTCCCAGTGCCTGGGACAGTCACGACCCACCAGGGGCGCCCAGTCTGTTGGGAGACACGCAGCCCTTTCTCTCAGAAGGGTCTCGGTGGGAAGGTGGAGACGGCTTCGCCCCCCAGGAAGCTCCGGGCTGCGGGAGGAGGCAGGTCACACACAAATCTTCCCAAGGCAGGAGGCGGGGAACCTGGGCGCGGGTCCTGAGCACCAGACCCAGGCTGGGTGGGTGGAGAGCGCCCCCTCCTCCCAGACTGGGCTCCTGCTGGGATGCGGACCCGGACCGGGAGGGCGGGTGTGAACCCCGCGGCCGGCCCAGGGCTTCCCTTCGCCTGCGATGCCCCTCTCACTGCGGCGACTCCAGCCCGTGCGAGCGCAGGGCTCTGCTAGCGGCTGAGGCTGCGGGCCCAGGGCCGGGGCGGAGAAGCCGGGGTCCAGCGGGCGAGTCTCCCCAGGCGGGTGCCCCGGCGCCGCGGTCCGGGCGCGGAGGCGGCTGCAGGTCAAGAGCAGGTCGAACAGCAGCAGTTTGAACAGCAGCAGCCGCAAAGCCCCGAGCCGCAGCGCCTCGCCCGGCGTCCCTGTGGGAGGGAGAAGGAGAGGCTGAGAGCCTGCGGGATCCTCACTCATCAGCCGCCCGCAACGTTCACCTGAGAAGAGGGGCCTTGACTTCTGCTCTTACGGTTCCTCCTCTGTGACGTCCCCCAGATTCAGGGAAAGTCCTTCCTGGTGTCTAACCTCGACTCTTACTGGTAATAATAACAAATATGTGCCTAGTCTTTATTTTACTTTATCCCTCCAAAACCAGGGGGATGTAGGCCAGGCTGGAATCAGCATTTGGCACAAAGAGGAACCTGCTCAAAAGTCTTATTCGGTCAGGAAGAGCCCCCGACAGGTGACGCTGTCCAGCGGGCGGTGGGACTTTCCACCACCCAGACGCTCTCCCCAGAGTCTCCCAAGGCTCTGCCGCTGAGACTGTTCGCCTAGGCTGTCCAAGGAGACCTTCAAGAACCCTTCTGTCACCTCTCGCCTGTGCTTCTCATTTGGTGTCCAGGAATCGGGCTGGGGTCAGAGGATCTTACGCTGGTGGACAGAGGCCCAGGCTGTCCAGGGCACCAACCCAACAAGGCAGCCATGAAGGGAACAGCTCCCAACCCCCAGCAGCACCCATCAGGCCAGAACCCAACAGAGTCCGAAGTCCTGGTCCCCAGTACTCACCCCCAAGAGGTTCCCAGAGGCAGGTCCTAGCTGAGGGAATCTCTCCTGCCAGCCAAGGAGAAGGGAGTGAGATCTGGGGTGCCCTGAAGCACTGCAGTGTTCTTGGAACGTGGGGTAAATGGACAAATCAGCCAGCAGTGGGAACCCTGAGCTCCTTCGCTCCAAGTCCTGGAGGGGCCCAGGTCTCCCTCACTCCCCTCTGTCCCCGGTTCTGTTCTCGACCCGACCCGACCAACGCTGAGGTGCCTCAGCACTTTCAGATACGGAATCGATCTTCTCAGCAGCCTTCTTCGGAAGGCAGGGCATTTGTTCGACAAACATTGCCATTTGGAAGGTCATGAAACTAACATAATCCAAAAAAGAGGAAGTCAGCCATC